AAATGTTATTTATTTTTGAGAGAGCACAAGCGGGGTAGGGCCTGAGAGAGGGAGACAGAGGATCCCAAGCGGCTCTGCACTGACAGGCTGACAGCAGCAAACCCAATATGGGGCTCGAAATCACAAACCATGAGATCATGACCTGGGCCAAAGTCAGATGCTCAACCAAATGAGCCACTCAGTGCCCCTCCAAGAACTACATTCTACCCTGGACATTATCATCCTTATTGAGAATGCATATATCAGGCTGTAATGACATGAGATGAGACTCTGTGAGAGCACCATACAGGATTTCTGACTGGTATATGTTAGAAGTACAAGTAGGCATCATAAAATCATAGACTAAAAGAAATCTATGAGCAAAACTATAAAGAACCATCTCTTCATCCATTCTTTTACTCATTTTCTAACTTTTTATGTGTTAGACCCTCTACTAAACACTGAGGATACAATAATGAACAAAAATATACATGTTCCTTACCCTCATAGTACTTATAATTCAGTGAGTGAAACAAATATTAATCAATACTCACACAAATAAATGTAAAACAGTAACCTCAGTAAGTGCCTCAAAAGAGATACTTGGTGTTATAGGGAGGCCAGCAGGAGTTCCCTGTGAAAGTGATGGTAGAGCTGAGGTTGGAAGGTGAAAAGGCTTTAACTAGACAAAGGAGGAAGAAGATCTTCCAATGTAGGGGAGGTAGATTGTGCAAAGGACCTGTGGCCAGAGGGAGCAGGACTCACAAGAAACCAAAAGACATGAATGACTGAGACACTGTGATCCAGGTGGAAAGTAATGCAAAATGAAACTAGCCCAAAGTTTCTCGAACTTGGCACTATTTACATTTTGGGTTTAAATTTTTTTGTTGTGGGAGGCTGTCCTGACCATCGCAAGATATTTAGCATCATTCCTGGCCTTTACCCCCTAGATGCCAGTAGCACTTACCTGCAAGTTGTGACAACCAAAAATGTCTCCAGACATGGCCAAATGTCCTCTAGGGAGCAAAATCACATTTGGTTCAGAATGACTGGAGAGAGATAAGCAGGGGCCAGACTGTGTAGTCCCTGTTAAGGAGTTTTGCTTTATTCTGTAAGTGATGGGATTCTTTCCAGGGATATTAAAGTGATGGAAAGAAGACAATCAAAGCTACATTTCTTTTTCTTTAGTAGTTTTTTTAGTGTTTATTTCTTTTTGAGAGAGAGAGACAGAGCATGATTTGGGGAGAGGCAGAGAGAGAGAGGGAGACACAGAATCTGAAACAGGCTCCAGGCTCTGAGCTGTCAGCACAGAACCTGGTGCAGAACTCAAACTCATGAGCCATGAGATCATGACCTGAGCTGAAGTTGGAAGCCCAACAGACTGAGCCACCCAAGGTGCCCCTAAAAACTGCACTTCTAAAAGATCTTCGGTCAGCATTGAGTAAAATGAAGGAAAGGAGAGCTCAAGCTAGAAGCAATGTTGATAGGCCAATTAAGAGGATAAACCAGTTTAGAAGCTCCTAGACTAGTCCTGGTGAATGCTAATTACAGCTTAGACTCAGATGATGGGTGGTGGAGATGCAGAGAAGTGATGGATTGGAGAGATAGGAAGTCAAATCACCAGGAGTTGGCGACAGACTAAACATGTAGGGTGAGGCAGAAGGAGATGGCAGGAATGATTCATGCTGGAGGAAGTGACTGGGTGATGGTGCTGTTGACTAAAACGGGCAAGTTGGAGATGGGCTAGGTTTGTGGGAGAAGACCACATGATATGATCATGTTAAATTTAAGGGGCCTTTGAGATGCCCAGGAACAGATGCCAAATAGGTCATTGGATAGGTGGATCTGGAGTTCTAGGAGGTCTGATTACAGATATCAGGGAGCCAATGGTCTAAAGAAGGTAATCTCGGTGGTAAAAGTGTATGGCCTCCTAAAGAAGGAATATAGGAGAAAACAATGAGGTCCTAAGACTGGGGCTTAAGTATGGCTCCTATTTAATGACCTGATACAGAAAAATACACCTCAGGCATAAGCAAAGGGATGGCTGGAAAGTTGGTGAGACTAAAGAGAATGTGGAGTCTCAGAGGGCCAGGGAAGTGAGTGAGTCAGGAAGTAGGGAGCGCACAATGTTTCCAGCAGTGCTATTGACAATAGTCAAGATATGAAAAGAGCCCACATGTCCATCAACAGAGGAAAGGATAAAGAAGATGTGGTACACACACACACACACACACACACACATACACACACACACAATGGAGTATTACTTGGCCATCAAAAAGAATGAAGTCTTGCCATTTTCAACAACGCAGATGGAACTAGAGGGCATTATGCTAAGTAAAATTAGTCAGAGAAAGACAAATATGACTTCACTCGTGTGAAATTTAAGATACAAAACAGATGAACATAAGGGAATGGAAGCAAAAATAATATAAAAACAGGGAAGGGGACAAAACATAAGAGACTCTTAAATATATAGAGAACAAACTGAGGGTTGCTGGAGGGGTTGTGGGTAGGGGGATGGGCTAAATGGGTGATGGGCATGAAGGAGGACTTGTTGGGATGAGCACTGGGTGTTATATGTAGGGGATGTATCACTGGACTCTACTCCTGAAATCATTATTGCACTATATGCTAACTAACTGGGATGTAAATTAAAATAATAATAATAATATTAATAATAATAATAATAATAATAAAAAGAAGCAGGAGTGTAAAACTATGTCACATGCTCCTGAGAGATTACATAAGATGGCTGAAGAAAGTCTGCTGGATATGGAGAAAAGGTCACTGTTGGTCTTAGTGAAAGTGGTTTGGTTTGATGGAGATGGGAGCCAGTTGGGGTTGGGTGAGGAGTAGGAGTTGAAGAAATAGAGACAGTAAATATAGATCACATCTTGGGAGGTTGTATTGTAAGGAGGGAAGACGAAAGGAGGTGGGGAAGGGCAAGAGGATCTTTTAAAATGAGAGAGATGTGAGGGGCATATGAGTGGCTCCGTTGGTTATCTGAGTTCAGCTCAGGTCATGATCTCACAGTTCATGGGTTTGAGACCCACGTCAGGCTCGCTCCTGTCAGCACAAAGCCTGCTTCGGGTCCTCTGTCCCCTTCTTTCAGTGCCCCTCCACTGCTCATGCTCTCTCTCTCAAAAATAAATAAACATTAACAAATAAAATAAATAAAATAAAATAAAAAGGAGAGGGATGTGAGCATGTTTCAGTGTCAATTGGGAAAGCTGGTTGAGAGGAGTTGGGTATCCATGAAGAAGGGATGCTTCAGAGATGGGAGGGAATGGTCACAGATAAGGGGGACAGAGTTGTTCCCTACAGAACCGAAGGAAGTGGAGAGGAGGGTGTGAGCCAGCGGGTCTGTGTAAGGGGAGGTGGAGAAGCAGAGGGACTTCTGCTGAGACAGAGTGAAGAGTGGGCATGAGGTGGGCTTGAGAAGAGTGAAGTTTGAAATTGTGAGAATCATGATTAGGAAAATTATTCTCAGGATGAAACAGTTCCTCAGTCATCTGAGAGAAATTATGATTGGAATACCCAGGTTACTTGCACTAGTATCCTAGAGCTGCCATAAGAAACACCACAAAGTGAGTGGCTCATAACAACCTGGAGAGAACTTCATTCCATCATAATGCTGGATGTTACAAGTCCCAAATCAAGATGTCAGCAGGGCCATGCTCCCTCTGAAGTCTCCAGGGGAAGATCCTTCCTTGCCCCTCCTAGCATCTGGCAGCTGCTAGTAATCCTGGCTGTTACTTGGCATTCCTTGGCTTCTAGATGCGTCATTCCAGTCTCTGCCCCTGTCCTCACATGGCTTTCTCCCCTCTGTAATCTGTCTCCATGTTTTCCTCTTCTTATAGGAACATCAGTCATTGGGGGCCCCTGGGTAGCTCCATTGGTTAAGTGTCTGACTTTGGCTCGGCTCATGATCTTGCGGTTTGTGGTTCAAGCCCCACATAGGGCTCTGTGCTAACAGCTCAGAGCCTGGAGCCTGCTTCAGATTCTCTGTGTGTGTCTCTCTCTCTCTGCCCCTCCCCTGCTACTGCTCCCCCATCCCCTCAAAAATAATTTTTAAAAAATTTTTTAATTAACATTAAAAAAAAGAACATTAGTCATTGGATTAGGGCTCACCCTACTCCACTATGACCTCATCTTAACCTATGTATATCTGCAAAGACTCCATTTCCATATTAGGTCACATTCACAGGTTTTGGGTGGACATGAATTTTATAGGAATGCTGTCAATTCAATATATATATTACTAAGACATTAGATTGTGTTAATGCATTTTTAAAGCATTTGTATAATTAAAATTAAAAAGTTTTTGGATTTTTTTTTTAAATTTATTTCTAGGAGACAGAGAGAGAGACAGCGTGAGCAGGGGAGGGTCAGAGAGAGAGGGAGTCACAGACTGAAACAGGCTCCAGGCTCTGAGCTGGCAGTCAGCACAGAGCCCGACGCGGGGCTCGAACCCACGAACCGCGAGATCATGACCTAAGCGAAAGTCGGACGCTTAACCGACTAAGCCACCCAGGCGCCCCTAAAATTAAAAAGTTTTTAACAGCTAATGTTTATAGATCTCAAGTGCTTCATAAGCAGTGTCACATACTCCCTGTAACAATTGTTGGGATATCTCCACTGTCCTCATGTTACAGATGAGGAAACAGAGGCTAAGAGTAGCTGAGTGACTTGCCTAGGGTGAGATCCTGGCAGAGCTAAGACCTGAACACAGACACTCTGATCAATAACACTCAGCTCTATTGCCTGCTATTTTCCAGGTAACATGGAGTTAATCAGAGAAAAACTTAATCAGCTACTTATCTATCTCACTACCCTTCCCTGCCAATATTCTTTACTCATATCTCTTTCTCACATACAGTGCTCTATGCATTCATCACGTCTACAGCTCCATACTGACAGCCCACTGCATGAGAACAGAAGCCTACTGTTTGGTCCATTTGGGCTGGCAAAATATAACTCTTTTCTGGTAACTTCTGCACTTGGCTTTCTTTCCCCAGGTCCACAGTATCCAATTCATGGAGTTCTCAGAAGTGGAGAACCAGGATGACTACTACAGCATAGAAGCTGGTTATGTCTACACCCAGGACCAGCAAGGAGTGCATGTCATGTATGATGAAGCCCTGAGTGATCTGAAGGAGCTGGAGGTGGAAATGCTGCTTGTAGCCAGCCATTACATTGAGAAAGAGAAAGGTCAGAAGTGAAATTTTAAAAAATCAACCAGCCAAACAAACAACAAACACTAAGGGCTTTTAACACCTTCCACCTCGAAACATAAATGCATATCCAATAGTATCTGAAAACTCAGTAAGTGCATGTACCTCCCCAGCATACACCTGCTTTAGAGAAGATATGGTTCTGTTTCTAGCTCAAGTCCCTCATCTAGTTGGAGACTGTCACTTCTCTTTCAAAGCTTCATTATAATTCTGACTGTTGTTTAGACTCTGTTTCTCACCAGGTGCAGGGGGTGTCATGCAGGGCCCTGAGAGAAGCAAAGTAAGCAAGTGAAGATGATGATTCTTTTTTCCCAAGAGACAAAAAAGTGATCAATCTTGAGGAAACAGCAGTTAGAAGCAGAGACACCCTGGGCTTCCTAACAAAAACCCAACAGAATAAGCACCAAAAGGAGAAACCATTTTTCAGGGTAATCAAATAACCTATACTCTGGATTCTCTTCTTCCTTCTGGCGTCACTCAAATGTATGCAATTTTAGAAATAGGTGAGGAAAGAAGAATCCTTTTGGAATAATATGATGACATTAGCATTATATTTGGAAAGAGCTTAGAGTTTCTAAACATATTGCAACACCTAAAAGGAAATTTAGCAAGGGTTTGTGCTATTTGTAATATATGTAGTTGGTAATTAACAATAATTCATTTTGGGGCATGTGGGTGGCTCAGTCAGTTAAGTGTCCAACTCTCGGTTTCAGCTCAGGTCATGATCTCATAGTTCATGAGTTCGAGCCCCATGTCGGGCTCTGCGTTGCCAGTGCGGAGCCTGCTTGGGATTCTCTCTCTCCCATCTGCCCCTCCCTCTCTCTCTAAAAATAAATAAATAAACTTAAAAAAAAGAATAATTTATTTTAATATTGTTATAAAATACTGCTCAAAGAATGTTTGACAACTAACCTTTCAGAGTCAGACAGAATCAACTTAACATTGGATTGAACTCTGCCCTCTTTGCTACAGACTGTGGGTGTATGAATCATGGGATACAGTGATGGCATCCAATGTTCTAGGGCATTTAATTTCAGCTTTTAGCTTTTATCTTTACTGGTTATTCTACATACTGATGCATCATTTTTACTAATATTAATTTATAATACCATGCAACTATTTCAAGCTGCTACGAATGTAATTTGATTGAAACAGTCAGTAGTTATTTAGCCATATGAGCAAGAGCATCTTTCAGCTGAGCTAGTGAGTATGTAGTCATCCATTGTGGAATGATTTCCCAACTTCTGCTAAAGAAATTCCTGATCGAAATCTTTCTCTTATTCAGTACCCATCATGTACATGATAATTATTGAACTCAAAGTTCAGCACCTGAAACTCTCTTTCTTTTTGTATTTCATTCTGAAATACACCACTCAAAAATTAAAAGCAATACTAATGCCGATATTTCCCACTATAAATTAACATTAATATAGTGGGAAAATATTTTAGCTGAATATGACAATGATTACCTTTATTGATTTAAGCTAGAAATTAACATAATTAAGGAATATCTTAGAAGCTACTCTGAGAAGTTTTGACTTGGCTAATATCACTTGGAAGAGCAGGTTGAACTGGGTTTGTTGTTAAACCACCAGGGACCTATTTTAAGAGAAGGTGAAATGTATATTTTGCCTTTAAATTACAGGTTTGAGGATATTTTCGTGAAGATTTCATATTAACTGAATTTTGGTTATATTTCTAAAATTACCCTTTAAGACTAAAATTAAAACATAAAAAAAAACACCTCTCTTTGACTTAAAAGTCAACAAGTGTGAACTTAGGTCCCAGATTTGGCCAATGGCTCTCCAGCTGATTCTTAGGAACCACTGTGACTGATTCAGTGTTTCCATTCCTGAGATGGAGCTGACAGTTCAAGGGCTGTTTTTCAAATGAAAATAGCTCCATGGAAAGGCCTGTCTCTGGTCATTCTCATCTTCCCTTCTCTCCCAGGTCACAAAGAGGGCAGCAAGTCAAATACTGGCCAAGACTGGGGATGGGCCCATGCAAGTGTGGACAGATTTGCTGTGCTATATGACATATGGACCTGGGAAGCAGCTCTTCTAGAAAATAAGCGCCAGGTATTTTTCTCTAGAAAACAAAACATCTGTTAAGCATTCTTATAAAACCCAGTATTTAAAACAAAACAACAAACAAAAGCCTCAGTGGGTCTTTTAGTGCAGCTCCTAATACAGTAAATAATTATTTTATTTAAATAATCTCGGCTAGTTGTAAGGATGTGAATAATAAGTTTATTTTCTTTACTGTGGTTCCTTGTTAACAGAAAATAAAATGTGAAGGGTACTACTTTGTCTTAAGGCATAATTTGTTAGAGGGCTGTATAATTTAGGCTCTTATATATGTTTTTAGTGAGAATGGGTGATGATTCCATTCACATTGTCCTGTCAGGGATGAGCGTCGCTATGCTAAACACAAAAAAAACTGACTTTATTATGGCCTTTAGAAAGACACCACGTGTGGGTGGGGCAAGCAGTTGGGCAAGGTGTGCTCAGAGCTGCAAGTTACGAGAGTAAGTGTAAAGCAATGAAAGGGCAGCTTGCTAAATTCATCATCATACCATCAATGGCTCATATAGTAATAAATGAAACATTGCCCTTCATTTGTATCCTCAGCATGGATTATTAGCCCTTCTGATGATCACCAACTGTTGGGAGTTTATTCATCAAACATTAAGTGATCTGTGTCTCAGGAACTGTTTTAGACATTAGGAACATATGGATAAGTAAGAAAAAATAATCTCTGTTTTTAAGGAATTGCTAGTCTATAAAAGTTGATCCAACCTCTAAGTAAAAATTACAAGCGACCTACAGCTTACAACTGAGACACATGCAACATCCCCAGAGACCACAGCAGAGGAGGAATTTGTCCTGTGGAGGGCTATTGGAGTAAAGGAAGTGTTGGCAAGTCTTCTCAGAGGAATAGATCTTTATTTAATCCTACTACTAAGAGATACGTAAGATATTGTCTGCCAGAGAAGGAAAATTTCTTTTTTCAAATATTTTTTTAACTTTTATTTATTTTTGAGATCACTTCTCAGCCTTTTGGCTAAGATCAAGTGTAGTATTTATTTTTGATAGACAGAGCGTGAGCAGGGAAGGGTCAGAGAGAGAGAGGGAGACACAGAATCTGAAACAGGCTCTAGGTTCTGAGCTGTCAGCACAGAGCCTGACATGGGGCTTGAACCCACGAACCATGAGATCATGACCTGAGCCGAAGTCAAATGCTCAACCGACTGAGCCTCTCAGGTGCCCCAAGCTTCTTAAGCAAAGGAAACAGCATTAGCGATGTCAGGGAAGTGTAAAATGAGGATGGCGAATTTGGAGAACAAGAAGACTCCTATGGCTAGGCTTAAACGGCATGATGAGAAACGAGCTGTATGTGTTTCAGGTGCAGGCTGTGAAGGGCCTGCCAATCCACACGCCTTTTACGGTTTATTTTATGAGCAAAGAGGAGCCACTCCCGAGTTTCAGAAAGGGAGAAATATGATCATAGCTGTTTTCACCAGCTGCTGGGGTATTAGTGTGGAGAATGGACTGGAGTAGAGCTCATGCAGAAAAGCAGTGCAGTTATTGCAACGGTGACCTGGAGAGGAGGACGGGACCTACACCAAGAATGGAACAGTAAGGAGAGGAAGGAGGGGCAGACTTGAGAACACTTTGCAGAAGTGGAAATGGCAGGATTTGGAGACCAGACACTGGGGTGAGAGAATAAGGGTGGAATTAAAAGTTTCTCAGGGTCAGGAAGGAGGCTATTAACTGAAATGGAATGCAGGAGGAGGGACACTTTGGAGGGAAAGATAATACTGAGTCTTCCACAACAGGCACGTGAGGAGAGTTTATTACATACAACTCAGGTGTGAACATTTTGTGGGAGGTATAGGTTTGAAGGTCAGGAGCAGGTATGAGCTGAGATATGAAGGTGAATGTTGAACCAGAGTAATGAATCGAATGACTAGGAAAAGCCAGAGATGTCTGAAATGCAGCCCTGGGTAATTCTTAAATTTAAGGGGAAGGTCACAGAACAAGAATCCATGAGAGAAACAAGAAGTAGCCAAAGAAACTGGAGGAAAGGGGCGCTTGGGTGGCTCAGTCAGTTAAGCATCCAACTTCGGCTAAGGTCATGATCTCACAGTTTGTGGGTTCAAGCCCCGCCTCAGGCTCTGTGCTGACAGTTAAGAGCCTGGAGCCTGCTTCAGATTCTGTGTCTCCGTCTCTCTCTGACGTGTCTCCGTCTCTCTCTGACCCTTCCCTGCTCATGCTGTCTCTCTCTCTCAGAAATAAAAAAAAAAAAAAATTAAATTAAAAAAAAAGAAATGGATAGTATGATGAAAGCCAATGGGTGGAAAAACATTTTAATTAGGAGAGGACAATTACTAACTAGTGTGGCATGCAGTGAAACATCAAGAAAGAAGACTCCTAAATATCAGGCAGTGGGGTCAGTCCCCTGGGTCATTGCCAGCTTTGTAGGACTCTCAGAGGGGGTATGGGGGTGGAAGCCAGCTTAGGGTGCACCATGATGTGGTCAGAAGATGGGGAAGTGGAAATGTTTTCTTTGAATTGTTTTTCTAGTAGATTAGATGGTTTACCATTTCATCTACTCTCTGGTCTATTACTCACAGAGATGTAGGTCACCCAGTTTTTGAAAACACCTGGCTGAGCTTAAAGGGTGGGAGCCTTGGGCTTTGAAAACCGTTCCTCTTTTGAAAGGGAACTGGCCTCTACAGAGTTTGCATCTGCAACCTCGATCTCTGCCAGTTAGAAACTTCCTTTGATCAACTAAGAGATCAAGACGCAAAGTGTGGTGACTGAACAGGCTACATTAAATGTACATAAGACAGAATCCCTGAACTCAACAAGTTCATTGTTGAAACATGAGTTTTAAGCAGCCCCTCTTTTCTGGGCTCTCTCTCCACACCTTCCCTTTCAGTGTTTCCGGGCCTCCTACAGAGGCCCCAGGCAGAACTCAATGGCAGTGGAAAAATGGAAGGGCAGCGAGGACTGAAAAATCCATTTCTGCAGACTTTGGCCTACACTCCATTCTGTGCTAAGCTACCAGGGCTGTTCTCTAGTTTCCTCTATGGTAAATAAAATTATTTTAAGTTAAAAAAAATCATTGAAAATGTCTCCCTCCTTTCTACCCTGACAATAAGTTCTCTATAAAAACTGAGCTATCTGTGCCAAAACTGTGAAACGTGGCCTTCTAAATCAGGAATTCTGTCAAAAGAGCCTATTTCTAGTGGATAAACTGTATTTTTATCTAGAGTACAATTGATTTCTCCCAGTACTGAGTCTGCTGCCAAGTTTGCTCAGCTGTTTTTGATTGTGAAATATATTGGAATCACTAGAGTTAAGAATTGCTCAAACACACTGGGTTGTCTTGAATCCTTAAAGTAACCATTTTATGTATAGATTCTCATAAAATTAGGGCTGATATGAATTTAGGTGGATTAAGGAACTCTTAGAGAAGCCAGGCATCAGCTGTCCTGGCTCCTAAGTGACACTTGCTCCAAATGCTAATTCTCTCTACAGCCACCAGAGGACACATTTTCTGGGTAATTTGAATTCATGTTTAGAGAAAGAATGAGAGGAAGGAAGGAAGGAAGGAAGGAAGGAAGGAAGGAAGGAAGGAAGGAAGGAAGGAAGGAAGGAAGGAAGGAAGGAAGGAAGGAAGGAAGGAAGGAAGGAAGGAAGGAAGGAAGGAAGGAAGGAAGGAAAGGAAGGAAGGGAAAGAAAGGGAAGGAAGGAAGGAAAAAAGAAAAAAAAAGAAATCTGTGACAATTATGGCTAACATTGATTTTCTGTTTTGTACTTTTATTTGATCTAAAATGCTATTTTTTTAAAGTCTTTTTAAGTCCCAGAAATATAAAACACTTGAGGTAAAAATATTATAAACACAGAAAGGTTTGAGATTATTCATTTTAGTTTTTTTTCAATTTTCTCCAATATTTGATGCCTACCGTCAGTGTGTACCATGCATTATTTTGCCTGAGAGTTGGTCCTTGACACACACAGGTGATATTTGACAGGCGAGGAAGACTTCTTAGACAAATACCAGCCCAGGGTTTAAATGGAAATGGGCCAGTTAGCAAACAGATAATAAATAGAATCTGTGAGGCAGAAAGATCCTGGTCTTACCCCTGTTGGGAAAGTATTAATAATAAAATTATGCGAGGGTCCATCTGAGAGCTTCTCGACATTGAGGCAAAAGCTTTAAAAAGCCTAATCAATTTAAAAAGAGAGCCACGTTTTCCTTTTCAATAACCAGTGTTGCCAGTTAAATTATGACAATATGTGGGATATACTAAACAAGTGTTTGTTGTTTATCAGAAATCCAGATTTAACCAGATGACCTGTATTTTTATTTGCTAAATCTGGCAATCCTGTAAACAACGAAAGTGAGCTTGGCAAATTAGCACCGACCTCTGCAACCTGGTATCAGCCGATTGTAATCACCAGCAAGAACCCTCCCCACAAACTTCTGCCAAATAGCTAAACAATAGGGCTCTTTGTATAAAAAACAGGTCAAGGCGTACAAATACTATAAACCAGCTCCTGGGATTGCCTTGGCTCAGTCAAAAAGGTTCAAGTTAGTCCAGAGTGATTTAAGGAAGTAATTGTTTCTTTCCTAATCTCCCAATTTAGGCTATTAAGTGACACCTTTCTTACCCGTCACTCCCTCCTTTCTGCTTTGTCCTCCACTATTTAATTATTGACTGTTATTCTAGACTAAAGCTCAGCAAAGGGAACAGGTAACTTAGATCACCCTGCTTGTTTCACTGTCCCCAGGACTCCCTTAAAGGATGGGAGATCTCCACCTTTCTTCATTCCTCACTCTGAGATGTGTGAGTTCCTAACCTGTGAGTGCATTGTGTATTCTGAGATTTTAGCCTCCTTTGGTGTTTTCTCTTTCATACTAAGGTTGACCAAAGGTCCCTGAGACCAATGTTTCCCAAAGGGCATCCTGCAAAACTAGGTGCTAAATACAGGGCCCTAGGATCTCCCTCTTTGTGTTTTAGCATTGAAGCCCGGATACTGCACATCTATTAATAAGGCAGTATTTTGATTCCTAGTCTGCTTTTATTCTCAAGTGTTTACTTCTCTGGGGAGCCTTGGAAACCATGATTAGAAAGATGGAGACACTCCTGGCTTTTCCTGTCACATATTCATGTAGTGCTTGCACCTTCTCGGTTCTTTCTGATTTTGCATTCTTTTCTTAGCTATGGACTCCACACAAAGATAGGGGCTTTTTATCGCCTTCAAGGAAATTTCTTAGTTTGTTAAGAAGAGGGTTGACTTCCTGGCCTCAAGCCACCAGGAAGACCAACACCCAAGGAAACAAAACACACTCTTTCTCTGGTGCATCTCAAAGTGTGCTAGGCTGTCAGGTTGGTAGAAATTGCAACCTCAGCAATTCACTCCTTGCTGCCAATTAAATGCACACACTGGGCAAGCCTATGTGTCTTTTTTAAAACTAATTTATATATATATATATCATTTACTGTCAAGTTAGCTAACATACGGTGTATATACAGTGTGCTCTTGGTTTTGGGGGTAGGTTCCCATGATTCATCACTTACATACAACACCCAGGGCTCATCCCAACAAGTGCTCTCCTCAATGCCCATCACCCATTTCCCCTCCTCTCCCCCCCCCATCAACCCTCAGTTTGTTCTCTGTATTAAAGAGTCTCTTATGGTTTGCCTCCCTCTGTTTGAAACTATTTTTCCCCTTCCCTTCCCCCATGGTCTTCTGTTACATTTCTCAAGTTCCACATATGAGTGAAAACATATGATAACTGTCTTTTTCTGATGGACTTATTTCACTTAGCATAATACCCACCAGTTCCATCCATGTTGTTGCAAATGGCAGGATTTCATTCTTTCTCATTGCCAAGTAGTCTTCCATTGTATATATAAACCACATCTTCTTTATCCATTTATCAGTTGATGGACATTTGACTCTTTCCATAATTTGGCTATCGTTGATAGCACTGCTGTAAACATTGGGGTACATGTGCCCCTATGAATCCTGTATCCTTGGATAAATTCCTAGTGCTTCAGTGATATGGCTACAGTGATAGCTGACAACTTCCAGAAGAATGAAACCTCCATAAGAGAAGCTAGGAAAAGAAAAGAAGACTGGGGAGGGACAGCTTGAGCTAAAGCTCTGAGGGAGGAGGTGTTGGATTAGATCAGCAGAGGAAAGTAATCTGTTCTGTTGTGAAATGAATGGGATAAAGCTTCAGAAGCTTCCAGTGAGAACTGATTTATCCATCTGGCAATGTGGACTTGGTGTTTAGGATCTAAGGGCTTTTCAGGTACCACTGAAAATGTGTGGGATTTGAGGGGGAAAAAAAACTCTATGCATTACTATGAAATATGAAAAGAAAATATAACACGGATTGCAGTAAATGCTTAATTACATGTCAATAAAATGTTAAAACATTGTTAACTAAACACTTAAAAACATTTCATTACATTTGAAAATTTCTCGATCAGATCTTCTCACTTCTTAATCTCTGAGAATATACTGCCCAAAAATCATAGCCAATCATTAATTCAAAGTATTGTTTCTAGCTAAATTGAAAAGCAAAATTTTAAATATCATTTAACATTTTTACAGAAAAAAATTTGAATGGGATGTGAGTATATGTTAAAATAGTTGATATAATGTGGGATAAGGTCTCCAAAAAAAGTGTCTAAGGCCTATGAAGTCCTGAACAGTAATCACACTGTTCAGAACTACTTAAATATCTTGCCCTTAGGTGCCTGTTTGGGATTCCAGCACAGTGATCTCTGAAGAGCCTTTTTCCGATTAGCACCATGACTAATTACACACAAATAGAATTTGCACACAGAACATAAATTTCTTTTTTTTAAATTTTTTTTTTAATGTTTTATTTATGTCTAGGAGAGAGAGAGAGACAGCGTGAGCAGGGGAGGGTCAGAGAGAGAGGGAGTCACAGACTGAAACAGGCTCCAGGCTCTGAGCTGGCAGTCAGCACAGAGCCGGACGCGGGGCCCGAACCCACGAACCGCGAGATCATGACCTAAGCGAAAGTCGGACGCTTAACCGACTAAGCCACCCAGGCGCCCCGAACATAAATTTCTTAAGCTCACAGACAAATGTAACAGCAAAAAAAGAACATCTCTCTCTCTCTGAATTCTCAGACTAGGAACCCTCTTCAATGGTTAGTGTCTGGAGGCTTTCTTTAGTTTCACCTCAGCCTTCCATTCTACCGCCCCCTATCATTTCTAGGTGAAATCTGGGCAAACGGTTAAAGAAAAGGGTTCAGAAATGAGGATAAGGAGAGGAGGCCACCTGCCTCCATTTGGTGATAGAGTAAAATGGAGGCAGGAGAATGAGTCTATGGAGAATGGTGTTGCAGATAAATACATTTGATGGAGTGGCATTGCATGCACTATCTCATTGGAGCTTATCATTATCACCTGTTAAATTATTCAGTATTTAAGGCTCCTTTTATTTGTGGAGAGCAGGGAAAGAGGGAACACAGGCAAAACTAGTGTTCCTTCCTTTGCCCTCCCTCCCTCTGTGGGTTTACTAATTGCTCTAAGTGGCTTTCGTGCTGCAGCTGCCTGAACCAGTCTGGTACCCAGGTACCCCAGAGTTCTGAATGGTTTCTCTCCTGCTGATGCCCGGGGCTTTCCAAAGCATGGAGTGGATGGGGCCTCACCTCTCTTTGCTGGGCCCTAGGGCTGCCTCTGCTGTTCCCTGACTAGAAACCTTATTTACAGCTTCTTGACAGTTACTTTGAAGCCTACCAGCATGTGTTGGACCCGGAGGAGAGGTTTGCCTTAGCACAAGTGATCACTGACATCATGCACAAATGCCCCAGGTTTGATCTCAGCCACCCTTATTTCATTAAGGCCTACAGAGATGAATGCACCTGCCTGAGGCTTCACTTGCAGCTAGTGAGGGGTATCCTGAATCAGCACGTAAGTACATTTGGATTTTAAAATAGTACATGTGAGACGGCCATAACTGAAAATAGTGCTTTCCTTTCATTGCAGGTTCAGAATCCAGGTTTTCTAGGGCAGCGCGTACAGCATGTTTATTTGTAAGCTCATTTGCATTGTTGAATTCCAAGCATAGCTACCGTCTTAAATGGAAGTTTCCAACCCTAATTACATTTAATGGTACACAAAGAATAGACAACTTATTTTCACTAGATGATGGAGTTTATTGGTACTGAAAGGAGGACGAAACATACCCCCTTTTACAAGCCATTAATGTATACAGTTGTGTTTATTAATTTTTTTTAATGCTGTGGCTATTTTTAGAACACTAAAGGAAAAATTACACTGTACTTGTCTGGGGAAAAGCTAGTAGCAGTGCATTTACCCTAGACCTGGTTAGATTTTTTCCCTTGTAGTCAATCATTTGACAAAAAGAAGTTTTCCTGGGCCTCTTAAGATTGTCTGAACTTGGTTGCCTTTGTTTTTATTGTCTGACCCCAGGCTCAGACTGAGAGACCGGTATGTCTTCACGTGAATGCATCCTCAAAACCAAGTCTGAGTGAAAATTAGTCAAATAATGAAGGGACGCAAAGGACTGCTCTTCTTCTCATGCCAGGGCTCATAATTCACATCCATGGGAAAGTTTAACTTTTCTAATTTTAGCTTTTATGTTACATTTCTAGATAGAGAGCCAGCGGGAGTATGTCCAGAGGCTTTGGCACGGAGGCCATCCAGATGATAGCAGTAACTTTGGACTTCCCCTTAACATAATTTGCAAACAACTTATTTCCATCAACAATAGCCGGTATGGCGCTATTGTCTTTAGACATTTTACATTTAATCTTTTAGATAAGTTAAAGGATATGATGGTAAGTCTAAATACTATTCTATAAAATCCCTTTCAAGTATCTGGGGAAATGAGACAAGTAGATATAAAAGCCACAGAAGAGGGATTTTCTTGCATACTCAATATCCATTTGCTTTGTAAGTAATAAAGAATAGGAGGCTAGAATTTAAAAGTTGTAACACTAGGTGCAGAATCTTTATTTCCTTGAGAAGTTCTATTTTTTTTAAAAGAGCAGTTCCTCTTGGGGCGCCTGGGTGGCTTAGTCGGTTAAGTTTCTGACTTTCGCTTGGGTCATGATCTCGCGGTTCGTGGGTTCGAGCCCCATGTCGGGCTCTGTGCTGACTGCCAGCTCAGAGCCTGGAGCCTGTTTCAGATTCTGTAACTCCCTCTCTCTCTGACCCTCCCCTGCTCGCACTGTCTCTCTCTCTCCTAGAAATAAATAAAACATTAAAAATAAATTAAAAAAATAAAAAAGCAGTTACTCTTAAAAATGTCATCAGAGGACTTATTCAGAGGTGCTACACAAGCTGACAGGCATGAAACTTGGACGTGTTTAAAAGTTTCTCAAAAAGGAATTTCTTTATTCTAGTAAATATCACCAAAAAGATTTCTGCAGACTCACCTTGTCATCCCGTACCCCTTTAAGGAGCGAGCTAAATTTCCTAAGATCACGTAGGGAAGGTACATACTTGAAGTCACCCCCATGACATGCAGTTTGAGCTCCCACCCATTCCTTCCTGGCCTTTGAGGGTGGTAAGGGAATCGGGAAGCAGGTGACAGGCCCCAGGTTGTTCTGCGTGGCCCATGATCACAATGTCTATTGCCTTCAAATGGCTGGAGAAATCACCCAGCTCCTTTCAGCATGTCACAAATAATCTGCTGAGCACCTACAGGTACCAGGCACTGTGCAAGGAGGTGAGGACACAGTTAGGAACAATGGAGGCATGGCCCCATGCTCCTGTCAAGTGCACAGGCCGGCAGTACTTTCCGTAGGACGTGGCCACGATGGCCTCTGGTACTCTCTTGGGGGCCAGCAGGATGCCATGGGATTTTGTGGCTTAGATTCTAACCTTACCCTTTGAGAAGGAGCCCTGAGAGCTCCAGGCACAAGACTGCATTTTCTCCACAGACCTTTCTAAGGACTGATTGCTTCTCTGTAATAAGACTGAGACATCAGCTGTGTGTATGCGGCTCGCTATGGCAAGAATCTACCGTTGAGGAAATGATTATTGGCAGAACATGCTAGGACTGTATGGATACCAAGACCTGTCAGAACAGTCTCAAAAGCAAATGTTGTTTACTTGATGGAATTCCTTTCCAGCCCTAGGGTTGTATTTTTTAAGATCTAGAACTAAGAGGAACCCCATCTGCATAGATTTAAGAAGTCTTTATGTTCTTTACTTCCATGTAGGTATAGAAAGGCCCTTGACTTGTGCTGTATCCTCTATTTTCAAAGGAATTCCCACAGACAAGCGCTTTGTCATTTCTGGCCTCGTCCCTTTATAAAATAGAACATTCTTATGGCAAACGTGAATGATTCTAGCAGTTGTGTACAGAGTTTAAAATGTGTCTTTGTTCATTAACATTTTCAGGGAAAAGAATAAAGACTCAGGTAGAAAAATAGAAAGCAATTATGGAAATTATTTATTTAATTTTTAGTCACCTATAAGTTTTGTTTTCATATATTTGACTGTTGATTACTAGAATGTTTATAGGTTTGCCACATACAGTTTAAGAATCAGAGTGGGCTTCCTCTGGAAAACAGTGTGGAGGTTCCTAAGGAAACTAACAATAGAACTCCCCTATGACCCAGCAATAGCACTGCGAGGAATTTACCCAAGGGATACAGAAATGCTGAGGCATAGGAGCACATGTACCCCAATGTTCATAGCAGCACTCTCAACAATAGCCAAAACATGGAAAGAGCCTAAGTGTCCATCAATGGACGAATGGATCAAGAAGATGTGGTTTATCTATACCATGGAATACTACATGGCAATGAGAAAGAATGAAATCTGGCCATGTGTAGCAACATGGATGGACCTTGAGGGTGTTATGCTGAGCGAAATAAGTCAGGCAGAGAAGGACAAATATCATATGTTTGCACGATTAGGAGGAACTTGACGGAGGAACAAGGGGGAGAAGAAGGGGGGAAATGGTGGGGGAAAGGGAGAGAGGCAAACCATGAGAGACTCTTGAATGCTGACAAAAACTGAGGACTGATGGATGTGGGGGGGAGGAGGGATGGGCATGGAGGTGGGCACTTGTGGGGATGAGCACTGAGTGTTATATGGAAACTAATTTGACAATAAACTATTTGTAAAAATAAAAGAATCAGAGTGGGCTTTTAGAATAAACTCTTATGGCTCCCAATTTTAAAAGGGTTCACATTAAAGAGAAGAGCATATTGTATAATCCGGTGGATTCCCTGGATGGCCTCTGAGGCCCCTTTAAGCTTCTAATTTTTTATAATATCGTGGATTATAACAGCTGTTTTATTGCTCTTAAAAAATATAAAATTCAAATGTCTTTTGAAACAGATCAAGTTCTTCACTGTGTAAAATTGTCATTGATCCATCCTCTTTTTAAGCCCAGCGTTGAAAAATATTTATCTGCTCGAGTTCCACCCTTCCCTGGGGCTGGCATCGCTCATCCCCCGATGTCTTGAGCACCTTCTCCGGGAGGCCCGGCACACCTGCAGACCCACATCAGCCAGCAGCCTCACCCTGCTGGAGGGACGCGTGCTGCGGCTGGCCCTGGATGTGTGGCTCACACCACCCAAGCCCGAGTCCTGGTACAGCACACATCTCCAGAAAGATGTAGGTTCTCCGAAGGGGGGGGGGGGGTTCCTTGGCAAAGGGAATGTTTTCACCCAGATGTTACTACTTAACTTTGTTTTTCGGTTTGGCTCTATTCCTCTCCTATTTGGCCAGAGACAGATCATAGTGCTGGGCTTTGCCAACATTTTTATGTGATGGTTTTTTTTCATTTTTGGTCAAAGTTTCCAGTTTATCAAAATACTGCTACAATTAGAAGGGAGATGTACTTAGGTATGCGGGAAATGTTTTCTGGCTTATTATTTATATTTCAACAGTATACATTTTTCATTAAAAGCTATAGATTTTATTTCCACTAAGGCTTTCTGAAATTCCCTCTTTTTTGGCCTGAGCTGAGATCTGGTACAAGAGAGAGACTGCTGAGTGAGGAGACAGGGACCTGGACTCAAGTTCAGCCCTGCTATTAACTTGCAGTGTGACTCTGAGAAAGTCTTTTAGCCTCTCTGAGCTTCTTTTTCCTATTTTATAACCTTTGTTTGTGTACTGGGGAGGGAGATAGAAGTGAGATTGATGGTCGCTAAAGCCCCTTTCAGCTTAGAGCTCTATGGTTCAAACTGTGGCCTAATGATTTACATAGTATTTGTAGTTAGACTTTAATTCTTTTCTTTTTCCGTTAAAGCTAGCACAGTGGAGGCTATGTTTACAGCTTGACCTTGCTCTCTGTGAGTACATGCTGTATGATGAAGGAACTTACAGCTAGCAAAAATCTCTCTTCCATGCATCTGCCTTGGCCTCCTATTCCCTCTTAAACTAAAATTTTATTTTATTTTAATTAATTTTAAATTGATCAAAATAATGTAATATAGAATTTTAGCAAAACAAAAAAGCAAAAAAATTACCCTAAACATAATCACTCAAATGCATTAACAATAATTACTTTTCTTAATTCAAACATTCTTCATATGCACATTTTACATAGTTATAATCACATCCTTCATACACTGTTTTTCATACACTTAATACACTGTTTTTCTCAGTTAACATTGTATTATATATTATTTTTCCATTTTGTTGATTAGTCTTTACACTCACCTTTATGATTATAATTCCCTTAAAGGATGAATTGTAAATTTTCTACCTATTTCCCTATTGTTGGACATTGAAGTAATTTCTAATTTTTTATTATTATTAAAATTATTATAAGGTATGTTTCCATACTTACAGATTTTTCCATATTTTAAGTCATTTCCTTTGATAGATTCTTAGGAGTGGAATTACTGAAACAAAATTTAAGTCTTTGGATGCAAGTTGGCAGATTGCTTCTCAAAAGAGTTGGGACAAATTATAATGCCATTTGTAAGAGTACTAATTCTGCTACACTGTACAATATTGGGTATAAGTATATGTCTGTGTGTGTGTATATATATATATAAAGTATATATATAGACATATGCTTTATATATATGTATAAAACAAGTGGCATTGCCTTGTTAATTTGCATTTCCTTGGTGTTTGTTGAGATTAAACATCCTTCCAAATGTCTTGTTACAAGCTGTACTTTTTTGTGAGTCTTCTGCTTTTTCCGTTTATTTATCTTTTAGAATCCTAATGTCATTCCTATCCACTTCCATGATTTCTCTTCAATGAAAACTTTAACTCTTTTGTCCATTATATTTTCTGCAACTATTTCTCCCAATTAATCTTTTTCTGTTTTATTTTCATAAAGTAAAATCTGTTGATCTTTTCCTATGTGATTTCTTCTATCTTCATAAATCCTGAAAGCAAATCTTCTTCCACATGTTGTATGTTTTTCTTACTTTATTCTAATTTCTTAAGGTTTTATTTTATTTTAAAAATATTTAACTTCTTTAGTATTCCACCTGGAGGGAGAGAGAAAGAGAGAGAGACGGGTATGAAAATGGCTCAAAACTGAATTTTTCGTGGCATGCTTGAGTGGCTCAGTCAGTTAAGCATCCAACTTCGGCTCAGGTCTTGATCTTGCAATCTGTGAGTTCATGCCATGTGTTGGGCTCTATGTTGACAGCTCAGAGCCTGGAGCCTGCTTCAGAGTCTAAGTCTTCTTCTCTCTCTGCCCCTCCTCTGCTCACACTCTGTCTCTGTCTCTGTCTGTCTCTCAAAAATAAATAAATATAAAAAATTGAATTCTCCCCCAAATTATCAGTCATGTATCTATGACCATTTACTGCAGATTCTTTCTGCATTGTATTATGGTGGCAGATTTTTGAAATGTATTTTAAATTCTCTTATAACTCACAGTGAATATTTGAGATACCTACCTAGTTTCCCATTAATGCCATACAGTTTTAATTATTCTTACTTTTGAAATGTGTTCAAATCTGGATCTAGAAAGGATAAATACTCAGATTAATCTTTTGTATTAGGCCAAAAAATGGGAGAGATATTGTCCTTAGAAATTAGTTTCTTTTTTTTTTTTTACTTTTTAAATAATTTCCAGTTTTTTTGCCACGATTTTTTGTTCTGTCATCTTTTCTTACAAAGTCCTTTTTTTTTTTTTTTTTACAAATAGTTTATTGTCAAATTAGTTTCCACATAACACCCAGTGCTCATCCCCACAAGTGCCCTCCTCCAAACTCCAGTCACCTCCCCCCCACATCCATCAGTCCTCAGTTTTTGTCAGCATTCAAGAGTCTCTCATGGTTTGCCTCTCTCCCTTTCCCCCACCATTTCCCCCCTTCTTCTCCCCCTTGTTCCTCCGTCAAGTTCCTCCTAATCCTCCTATACGTATAAATTAGTTTCTAATAAGAATTAGTTTAATAAAAATTTTTGTTTAGCTTTGGAAGACTTCAGGAATCTATAAATTGCATCTCCAAGTAGAAAAGGCCTTTGGTGGATCAGTGGACACATAAGAGAGCTTGTGATAACAAAGGCAGATAAGGGAGGTAAGGCAGAAAAGACAGATAAAGGAGCCAAGCCAGGAAAGGCAGATTTGAGGGATCCCCAAACTGGGTCCTTGCTGGGAATGGTATAGGAAAGAGTAGCAAGGATGTCAGAGCAGAGGAGCCCACCATGGCAGGAGGTGGTTAAAGAACAATGAGGTTATTTCAAGAATTGCCTGGGGCTTACTCTTTTTAGGAGGAGCACTGTAAAGGCAGTTTAACATACTGTAAAACTACTGGACCTGGAGTTAGGAAGCGTAAGTTTACCCTTGGCATTGCAGTATGACCTTGGAAAGTTTCAGTGTTGCTGCCGATTTCTCACTGATAAAATGGAAATAATGGTATCTGTGACTCCTACTTCATGGGGATCTTGTGAAAACAGAAATGAGTTAATATATGTGAAAACACTTTGAAATTTTGAAATTGCAATTGGAGGAGTTTATAGGAAATTATTATTATTTTTATGGCTTCTAAAATACTCAGAAAATATCAAAGATTCCTACTTCTTTATTTTGGCTGAAAATATTTATAATACTGACAATAGCAAATACTATGTACCAGGTCCTTTTGTATATATTAACTCACTGAACTTTCTCAATAATCTATGTAGGTAATTATTATTTACTTGTTTCTCTTAGGTACTGTTATTATTCTTAGCCCCCTTTACAGATGAGGAAACTGAGAGACAGCACAATTTCACAGCTTACACGTGGCAGAGCTAGAACTTGAGCCCAGGAAATCTGGATTCAGAGTCTGTGCCACTGATAGTGTTTTTTCTTAACCTGTGAACTTTCTGTTTTTATACTTTAAAAAGTATTTTCTTTCAGCTGTTTTCAGCTAACGTGATGGGAGATCCCTTTCTCGTGGAGGAGATAGGTCTGCTTGCACTCAAGTCCGCAGCAGGCGAAGGACAGACCCAAAGCCAAGATTCTCACGTGCTGCTCCTGGAGACCTTTTCCAGGCTTCTGGAACTCGTGACCCTCCGCCACCGGCTGATAGAAATGAGTCTGGAGAGTGTACACTTAGCTCGGTCAGTAAGGGGACTGAGGTTCCAGATGGGGGAGAACAGACCATAGTTCTCCCTGCCTACAAGCCTTGTTCCCTCTGTGTCCCAGAGCAGTCAGGGCGAGCTTTCTAAATGGCTGAAATGACCACCTTCCCCACTTGTTCCTTCTCCACCCAGGCCTCCCCACATGTCTCTCTGCCCACTCAGCCAGGCTGGGCCCTCCTCCTAGAACCTGGGCTTTCTCTCCATTCAGCACATTGCCTTTTAGTCAGATGCTTACTACTGGTTTATCAGTTTTCCTGCTAGCATAAGCTCCCTGTTTGCAAAAGCACTGTCCATGTTGTTTTCCATGGTGTCCCATCACCTGGTAATAGGCCTGAGTTACACTCAGCAAATATTTACTGGATTTGCTCTTAACTATAATGAAGTTGAATAGCAGAGCAGAAGCAATAGAAGGATTAGAGAAAGGAGAGGGATGGGTCAGTGACAGTATCCAGGCCTGACAGAGGTTTGGAAGGTCCAGCATTAAGGGGGGAAGGGGGGGCTAGAAAGAGAGAGAGATAAGAGTTAGGTTTCAGGTATTACTGTGAGATGATGAAAAAACATCCAAGTGGACATGTTCCATAAGCAGGAAAAATATGGAATTAAAGGGTTTGTTGCAAACATGTATGAGTTCCCTTATGTTCTAGTGCCCATGAGAGTTCCTATAGACATAAAGGATCCAGTCATCTACCACAAACCATTACCAAGGGTCTACTACGGCCAGGGTCTGTGCTGGGGACTTTATGTGTATTCATTCATTTAATTTCCAGAATATTCTTAAGAGGTAGCTTACTAATATTTTACCAGCAAGGAAGTAGAGGCTCAGAAAGTTAAGCAATTTGCCTAAGATTGCATACCTAGAAAGTAGTAGAAGCAGAATTCAAACTATGAGTCAAGATATTTATTAACTTTTATGATACTACCTCCTCATAATTTTTGATCCTTGATCTCAGGGAGCTCACAATTTAAAAGTCACTTCTACTATAGTTTAACATGCTATTTTAGTCATATAACCAAAATACTATGGGAACTCAGAAAATGGAGTATTTCATTCTTTGTAAGTGGGTCAGGGAAAGCTTCATAAAAGAGGCACTATTGAGGAACAAATGCGTCCCCTGGCAGGTTCATATGTTCAAGTCCTCAATCCCAGTACCTCAGTATGTGACCTCATTTGGAGGTAGGTTCTTTACAAAGGGAATCAAGTTAAAATGAAATCATTAGGGTGAGCCCTCATCCAATATGACTGTTGTTTCTTATAAGAGGAGAAGACTTGGACACAGACACACACACAGAAGGAAGGTGATGTGAAGACACGAGCAGAATGTGGCCATCTATAAACTAAGGAGAAAGGCCTGGAACAGATCCTTCCCTCACGCCCCTCAGGGAACCAACCCTGATAACACTTTGATCTCAGACTTCCAACCTCCAGAACTGAGGGACAAATTCTGTCTATAGTACTTTGGCACAGCAGCCTAGAAAACTAATGTAGGTGCCATTTGAGTTCAGCCTTAATACTCCAATTTCTCAAAATGGAGAAATATGTGAGGATGTGGGTGAGAGAGGAGTGGAAGACATTCTAGACTCTAAAGGCTGAAATGCCAGAGGTGTGTCTGAATGGAGCCTTGAAGCAAGCCATGTAAATGTGGGAGTAGAGCTCAGATTTGGGACAGGACAGAGGTAGGGTCATGGGCTGTTACACTAAGAGGTGATCATTAGGCCATGTGGTTGGAAGACAAACTCCCCAAGAAGGGGACAGAGAAGAGGAGAAGAGGACCGGGTTTAGAACCCCAGGAAATACTAGGATTTGAAAATGAAGAGGATGAGAAGCCTGTGTAAACTGCGAGATAGTGGTCATGGGTAGGAGCGTGGAGATCCTGGATCTTGAGGAGAGGACAGAGACCAGCTGTGAAGTGTTCTGAGAGAAAATAGTGAACCTTGTATTGAAAGCAGTGACCTCCCAAGGGCTCTGAGGATAGAAGCCATCAGGAAATGAGAGTTGAGGAAGTGTCCAAGGACATCTCCTCCTACTTTAACTACTATTTTTAACTCTCATAGGATAGAGTAGACACAAGACCTTTGTGACTCATTCACTTCATACCAGACTTGGCTTACTATTGTTTCGACTTTTGCTTTTGTGCTTATTCAGATTTTTTCGTTTTTTTTTTTTTTGTTTTGTTTTGTTTTTTGTTTTTTACCACTTACTTTCCTTTTAGTGGAAAATATTAGCAAATGCTCTTGGTTCTTCATCCTCCCCCCTTTAGTCTCTATAAGGAACTGGCATGGGAGATGGGTTTTGAAGAGTACCATTTGTATCTGAGGCCTGTTCACTTTGAATTTGCATCACACAAGGACAAAGTGGACCATCCACCTCCTGTTTTTATCACCTCTCTGCTGGAGGACAGTGATCGAGTGGACAGGTGAGACTTGAGAAGGTCCGAGTAAAAATAATATAATGATAGAATGAATGGCCAGAGAAAAATAATTTCTACCACCACTGGACACACAAATGCAATTGTATTTCTAAATCCCCCACTTATATTCTATCTACTATGATACTATTTCTTTTATTTTTTAATAAGGTGAGAGAAGAACTCAATGAAGGGTGAAAATTGAATTTAAAAACACCAAGTAATGGAAAAATTGGATCAGGGAGCTTAAGTGAGATAAGATCACAGGCTCAGCAGCTGCCCAGGTTGACTGTGTTGTTTCTGGGTAGAAAGAGATGTGAGGGTTTGTCTCATGGGGCAAGAACCATGGATCAGAAGTCCAGATCCCTTCTCTCACTTTCCCTGGGGGCAGGAAGAAGCCAGTTAAATATTTTGAGCAGCTGTTTCCTTGAAACTCTACAAGAGGTACAAATCTAATGTGTATGGCAATATCTCAATCAGACTCTTGTTGACCAGCAACAGAAGTGGACTCAAAGCTGTGAAACTTCTTTATGCCCCATATGTTCAGCCCATTGCCAGAAAGAGAACACTCTTACTAGTAATCAGTCATGAGTCTTTGAGTCAGGGAGAGGAATCTTTTCCTTCCACACAGGATCAGACTTTGATGTATGCTGAGGAGAAACTTCTGTCTCCCTCTTCTTTCTTTCTTTCTCTTCTAGTCTTTTCTTCCCCTGAGGGTCCTTTCTATCCCTGGAGATTCCTGGTACTGGCCCCACCCCCAAGGAAAGCAAAGATGATTCTAAGGAGAAAAAGTCACCTTTGTTTTGTTAGTGTGTATCACTTGTCAAAATTTAACTTTGATGTGTTAATATGTTAATAAAAGTCTCTTCTTCTCCAAAGAGACCTTGGGCTGAAATAAAGGGGGTTAGGATGATAGAATATGAGATCCCAGAACTTCTCAACCTTGGCATTATTGAAATTTGAGGCTGGTAACTCTTATAGGAGGGCTGCCCTGTGCATCGGAGGTTGTTTATCTGCATCCCTGACCTACCAGATGCCAGTAGTACCCCTTCTTCCCATTTGTAACCACCAAAAATGTCTGCAGACATTACCAAATGTCCGTTGGAGGCAAAATATTTTTTTTTTGCTCTATCCTGTCATACTAGCTAAACAAAAAGAGAATTTATCATAAGGATATAGAAATGTTTTACAGAAACTGAAGGCAGGAAGTATGAGCAGGCCTCAGGCGAGGCTTGGTCTCCAACCTTGAGCCAAGTTATTCTCTGGCTTTTTAAGGGCCTCCTGCTGGAGATGGTATATGACACTGATGTAAAATAGGGCATATTTTTGTTCAACTGGAATCAACCAATCACCAGAAAGTGCCCAAATGATCTATGGCCTGACCAACCTGTGATTGGTTCTCCCGATGACCCAAAGATCTTGCAAGATCTGAGGAGCCTTCTAAATTACCAGGGGACGGTTTATGCACCCAAGGATCTTGGCTCTTGAGTTTGCATTTATTTTATGTATGTTAATTCCTTACAGTTGCCACTCTGGAGTGTTGTTATAACAACATATATCAAACATGAGCATAGTGACTTACATTTTAAAAAGCACATTTGTACATATTATCCTACTTAATATTTGCCATAATCCTATGAGATAGGTGATATCTCCAATTACAGATGAAGAAACTAAGATTCATAGGTGTTAAATTACTAGACAAAGTCTCATAGGTATGAACAAAGAACCATATCCCAAGGCGTAAACATGATTGCAAAGAACAATTAGATGATTGTTGGGCAATGAAAGAGAGCAAGAACTGGACAGCTTTTAGGGAATGGAGAAAAGGGTTCAAGTCAATGAAGAGCCTGAGGACATGGGGTCAAAGGTAAGAACAGAAACAGGATAAAACAGTGGAATGAGGATCAACAGAAAAGAATTTGGAGTAAGTGGTCACCACAATGAAACTGAAAGGAGATCAAGTCCAGTAAGGACTGAAAAGACCCCAGAGCCCTTCAGTCTTTGGGCAGAAATATCAAGTCTTGTATAACATCTGCATTTGGTATTATTTTGATGTCCTAGAGCTGATCACATGCCATTCAGTCCCATCAGAATGGCCAGCTCGTCACTAAAACATAGTACATCAAGACAATGTCATGTTTCTTCTTGCAGATATTCTCCTACTACTCTTGTGTTAGCCGTCTCTGAGGTGGATGATAACCAGGTTGGCAAGTTTAGCTTTTATACAAAGGAAGCCATCCTTAAGGTAATTTGTTTTAAAAGAAACTAAAGTTAAGCAATGTGCTCATATATTTCTTTAAAGATAATAATATTTAATTCATATAAGTTCAGTTCCTCTATATAAGAAAAGCTTTCAACTTCCTAAATGATGATGATAGCCTTACCTTACTTGATGTGCACATTGGTCTGGTTTGAACCATAGAGACTGCAATACTCCTTGCAATAATCACTGCTACATATCTTAAAGAAGTACATGTAGTGAAACCATCTTTGTACCAAAATTTTAAAATATGCACATGTTATTGGAGTTTTTATCTGATCTTTTTGAACGTGGTGCTGTTTTCCCCCCTTTCCACTCAGATGGATTACTTTGCTTCTGTGTGTGCATGTGTACGTTTGTATTTGTGAGTGTGTGTTTTAAACATTAATCTAATTTTGGTAATTTTAAAAGCCTGACACTGAGCACATGTTTGCTAGTTCATCAGAGCCTTCTCATCCTTTTATGACCCAAAACCTGATAGTGTCCAGCTATAGAGCAAGTCAGGCCTGGAGGCTGCCATCACAGGATGAAATGGTGCTTAGAGAGAGACGAGGCTCAGTCTTGTGTCTGAGGAGCAAGGGTCTCAGCACATCCTACAGTTTGAGTGCTATGTTTACATGCTAAATCAGTGTTGATCTCAAACCCTCAACTTCACCTCTTGCTTTATGACAGAAATTCCTAATACCTTTCTCATTTTCTCCCTTTAGCTCTTATTCCATTCAGGAGTGGAAAACATGCAAGTGACCCTTGCATGCCAAGCTGCTCAGAAAAATGCTTTGATGGTGGCTGTCCAACAAGCATCCTTCTATCACATGTCCCAGTGGGGTTGTTCTGCTGATGTGAAGGTCAGCCTGTAAGACAGAACCCTGAGGCCTGCTACTACTATGCCAGCTAATGCTAGGCTACCCCTTCCATTCCTTCTCTCCTTTAGCCTGTCCCTTCTCTCCTCCCTTCTTTTCTCCCTCGCCTTCTCCCCTTCCCTTCTTCTCTTTCTTCCCTCTTTCCCTTCTTTTCTCTTTTTATCTTCTTTCCTTCCCTCTTTCCCTTCTTCTTTTCCTAATGTGAGTCAACACATGATCAAATCCTTACAGGGTCTCTTAATTTCTAGTGATTTGCTAATATTTTATCTCTTTGTATGTAACTCTGTAACATTGACTAGCTTGAATCATCCAGCAGAAAGTATCTTGTTCTTCTACTCCTACTCTTTGTAGATATATGATTTTATTGTTTTCTCTTTTATTCTTCCTGCATTTCTTTTTGCAAAAGCCAACAGAGACATTTGTCCCTTCTTTTTTCTACAAAAGGTAACACACAATGCATGCTCCCTATCTCCCCCAGATTTCTTTGGTTGTTATTGAGATATAATTCGCATAACATAAAATTTACCCCCTTTAAAGTATATAACTCACAAGATCATGCAACAATCACCACTACCTAATTCCATAACATTTTCATCATTTTTGAAGGAAATCCTCAACCCATTAGCAGTCACTCCCCATACCCTCTGTTCCCCTCAGCCCCTAGCAAACAGTAATCTACTTTCTGGCGCTATAGATTTGCCTATTCTGGACATTACACATAAATGGAGTCATTCAACATATGGACTTTTATATCTGGATTTTTTTCACTTAGCATATTTTTAAGTTTCAACAATGCTGTAGCATGTATCAGTACTTCATTCCTTTTTACTGATGAATACTTCATTATATGGATGTACCACATTTTCTTTATTCATTCTTCAGTTGACAGACATTGGGTTGTTTTTACTTTTTGGCTATTATAAATAATGCTGCTATGAACATCCATGTGCTGGTTTTTGCAAGGAAATATGTTTGGAGTTTTACTAACACTTATTGTCTCTTTTTTATTTTTGCCATCCTTTTAGGAGTGAAATCATATCTTATTGTGGTTTTGATGTGCATTTCTCTAATTACCAATGACACTGAACATCTTTTCATGTGCATATTAGCACACGAGAGAAATTTCTACTCAAATTTTTGCCATTTATATAAAATGAAATTTGCCTTTATATTATTGAGTTGTAAGAGTTATTCACATATTCTGAATACAAGCCCCTTATCAAGTATATGATTTGCAAATATTTTCTCCCATCCTGAGAGTCATCTTCTCACTTTCTTGATGGTATCCTTTGAAACAGAAGCTCTTCATTTTGATGAGTCCAATTCACCTGTTGTTTCTTTTGATATCATATTTAGGAAAACACTGCTTAATCCAAAGTCACAAAGATCCACTCCTCTGTTTTCTTCTGAGTGTTTTGTAGTTTTAGCTCTTGCATATAACTATGGTTGATTTTTGTATGGAGTATGAGGACAGGGTCTAACTCCATTCTTTTGCATGCGGTGTGCTCTCCCGGCACCATTTATTGAAAAAACTGCTCTTTCCCCATGGAATTGTCCTGACATCTTTGTCAAAAATGAATTGGGCTGAAATGTAATGGAGTATTTCTGGACCCGGAATTCTATTCCATTGTTCTATATGTCTATTTTTATGTTAGTACCACTGTTATTTTGATTACCGTAGAGTTGTATTAAGTTTTGAAATTAAGAAGTATGAGTCCTCTAACATTGTTCTTTTTCAAGATCACTTTAGCTATTTTGAGTCCCTTGAAGTTTCATATGGATTTTAGGATCAGCTTGTCAATTACTGCACATATACGCACACAGCACCATTTGAGATTTTGACAGGCATTGCATTGAATCTGTAGATCACTTTGGATACTATTGCCATCTTAACAATATTAAGTCTTCTGATCCATGAACATGGATGTCATTCTATTTATTTAGGTTTTTAAAAATATTTTTCAACAGTATTCTGCAGTTTTCAGTGTATAAGTTCTGTACTTCTTTGTTAAATTAATTTCAAAATATTTCATTTTTTTATTATATTGTTGGATCTATTTTCTTAATTTCATTTTCAAAGTGTTTATTGCTAATGTATAAAAATATAATTGAGTTTTGTATATTGATCTTGTTTACTTGTGTGTATGTATTCTTTAGGATTTTTTTTATATACAAGATTATGTCACTTGCAAATAGAAATAATTTTACTTTTTCCTTTCCAATCTGGATGTCTTTTATTTCATTTTCTTTACTAATTGCCCTAGGTAAAACTTCCAGTACAAGGCTGAATAGAAATGGCAAGAGTGGGTATTATTATCTTATTCCTGATCTTAGGGAGAAAGCTTTCAATCTTTTCCATGAATTATGATGTTGGTTATGTTTCTTTCATAGATGCCTTTTATAAGGTTGGGGACATTTCCCTCTATTCCTAATTTGTTGAATGATTTTATCATGAATGGGCTTGGGATTTTATTTATATATACTCTTTTGGATTTTGGTTTTTTACTTAACAATATATCCTGGAAATCACTCCAAATCACTTCATAGGAATTTTTACCCATTTTTTAAACATAGTATAGCTCTCATGTGTATGTATGTTCACCAGTAAAATTAATTCACCAGTTGGCCTCAGGAAATCAACTTTCCAAATGGCCTTAAACATTCTTTACATCCTATAGATTCTATACAGCTCACCATATTTATCTCTTATCACATTTGTCGACATTTATCTATTTCTACTCTTCATGTTAATAGGAAAGTACAAATTTATGAGTATTGCAAGAATATTCATTCCTTGCTTCTACTGCCAAATAATAATCCCCTTAAGACCAAGTACTGAAGTAGAAAATAAGGGTAGAGCGAGTTATATTGATTTTAAAAAACTCAACCCCAAAATTGTAATTCAGTACATCCTATAAGTTAGGTTCATCAGATAATACTGAGGTACAAGTCATGCTCTTAAGGAACTTAAGACCAGTGTGTATGTATGTGCGTGTGTGTATATATATATATATATATATATATATATATATATATATATATATTATATAAGGCTAACAGGCTCACACGGTGTTTAAGCACAAGGTATAAAAGAGGGGTTCAACAAGCTATAGAAGGAATTTAAAGAAAAGAGAGGTCACATCTGGGGAACCAGGAAGGGCAGCATAGAGAAGGTGCTTTTGGGAAAACCCAAGGGATGAGGGTTTTGTTTTTTTGTTTTTTTGGTTTTTTTTACAAATAGTTTATTGTCAAGTTGGTTTCCATATAACACCCAGTGCTCAGGGATGAGCTTTTTGACAGGCAGAGAGAACACCTTCAGATAACTCAGTCATGGAAACAAGAGAGGGCAGATGGGTACTAGGTAAAAATGAGGAGCCCAGCTTGACCATCACAGGTGGTTTTCATACATAGTTGACATAGGAATTCTCTATTCAATTACTTTAATCTTATGAAGAATACCAGTGTATAAAACAAATATAAGTGGGGTTATTCTTGTTGAAATGGAGATTGAGAGGATTATGAGTCATTCCCCAAGACCTATTCAAGAAGCAAATGCTGAAAGTCACTGGATAGGAGCACAGGGCAGGGATGTAAAGACGTTAGGGATATCTATATCTATATTGACATCAATATGGTTATATAGATATATTTATATATGAATATATAGGTGTGTGTGTGTGTGTGTGAGTGTGCATCTGTTTATATGCTCTCCTACAAGTATGGGACAGGAAGACAGCTGACAGTATATTAAAAAGGAATAAATGATGGAGACAATGAAAAGGAACAAGGAAATGAGGGAAGGGAGGAGGGAAAGAAAGAGACAACAAGGAGAAAACAAAATTGTTCACTTCTACCAAAGCCAAAGGAGGCAAATGTTTCAAGAAGAAATGAGTCACCAAAGAAGATGTACAGATGGTGAATAAGCACAGAAAAAAAGTGTTCAACACCATTAATTAGAGAAACGCAAATTAAAACCTCATTGAGAAACTACCTCACACCCATGAGAATGGTTAAAATTTAAATGACTGACCATTTTGAGTGTTGGCAGAGATGTGAAAGATATGGAATTCACATACACTGCTGAGGGAAATGCAAAATAGTCAATCATTTTGGAAGACAGTTTGACAGTTTCTTAAAATGTTAAACATATACTTACCATATGATCCAGCCATTCCACTCCTAGATTTTACCCAAGAGAAATAGAAACCCATGTTCATACAAAAACACACACAGATGTTTATAGCAGCTTTATTTAAAATAGCCAAGAACTGGAAAGAACCCAAATGTTCCTCACATTGGTGAGGTGAATACATAGTAGATAGACTAGATAAACAAATAGATAAACAAATTGTGGTACATCCATACAATGGAATATTACTCAGCAATATAAACAAGTGAATTATTGAGATACACAACAATATGGGTGAAGCTGTACAAAAAAGAGTATGTACTACATGACACCATTTACATAAAATTCTAGGAAATTCATTCTAATCTATAGTTGCAGGCAGCAGAGAACAGTGGTTGCTTGAGGAAGAGGGCTGGATGGGAAGAATGGTCATTATTTTGATTGCAGTGTTGGTTTCATAGTTGTATACATAGGCCAAAACTTTCTAATTGTACACTTCAAATACATGATGTTTATTGAATGTCAGTTATATCTCAATGAAACTATTGTTTTTAAAAGAGGAAAAAAGAATAACAAGTTGAAAGTTGATAGAGTTAAATGTAGAAGGAGGAAACAGAAGAGCGGGGATGAAAATGAGGCCATTTGACATCCTCAAAAGGTCATCGGAGACTGAGAGAGCAGTTCTAATGGAGAACAGTTCTCATTCCTCATTCCTCATTCTAAGGAATGAGAGGGTGAAAGAAATATAGAAGCAGTGTGTGTTTACTGCTCTTGCATCAGTTCACTTAGGCTGACATCACAAAATACCACAGAAAACTTTTTCTTCCACTCCCTCCCTCCCCTTACCCTTTATCATTACATTGTGCGTGGCAGCATATATAACCCACCTCCATTTGCTTATGCTGAACAACAGTGAGCATGCTGCCTGAGTTTTTCAGACTTTGCAGCCATGAAGTCCATCAGTAGTATTTCTTGACAGGCCACTCTATACAGAGCACTCCAACTAGCTAACTTGTAGAATGAAGAACTTTTTTCAGGGCAGTTTAGACAACTGCACTTTATTCTGGAAAATAGTTACACTTACTGCCTCACCCTTATGTTGTACAAAATCTCTCTTCCTTTTTTTCCTCTTACTCTCTCCTCTCCTCCCCTCTATTTCCCTTCTCTTCTCTCCCTTCTACTCCAACCCATCCCCACCCCACATACTCAAGCATTTACATAATTTGGGGGTCAGTTGCACCTATGAGATAATTTCACAGCCAGTACTACAGGGTTTACAAATCCAACAAACTTAATAATTCCATTCACTTCTGTTTAAAACATTTTAGGAAACAAGTTCAGATCTGAGAAATCATGGTGGAATAGGTCCAGCCAGAAGAAGAAATTCCGGAATTGTGAATGACACAGAAAACTTCCTGTTAGCCCCAGCTCCAAAAGTTCCAGACACCCTTACTCATCGTTCAGAAAGATTCCAGGCTACCAAAAGGTACTTCACTAGGATTTGTTTAAAATAACAAAAGTTTTCTCTTTTAAATCAATTAATAACATAGTATGGGATTGAAGGATGCCTAAATTCCCAAAGTGACAAGCCTGTGTTTAATTTTTAAGACCTTGTATGAAGACCTTATATGAACACTGAGAAGGCTCAACTTCTTCCAATATACAGTCTATGAAGGACAGTCAATGTTCCTTATCTCAACCCCTTTTCTGCTCTCTGCTCCTCTATCCTCCTTTCTCTTTGTCTTCCCTTTGTCTTTTCTCTCTATATATTTTTCAAACATAGAACACAAAGAAGAAGAATCTGGGCCTCTCCAATTTTCCATGTTTATCTTAATCTAAAAAATACAGAACTACCCTTGCTATTCAAGGGCTTTACCATTGCTTAGAATAATAGGGTGCTGCATTAACAGAGAGGCACAGCCTCTATGGTTATAAATCAGGGATGTCCTATTATGTCATGACCTCTTTTCACTGTGACAGAGAGAGATATTTGTATTCTGTAATAAATATTCTCGGTATTTCCAATGATAGTTTAATTTAATTCTGGCACATTTAAAAGGGAAAACATAGTAAGCAAAACTGCTTTACTACACCAAATGCCATTAATTTGACACATAGCCAGAGTTCAAATACCCTTTGAAGAGTACCTTTGAGGGTCCCCTTTAGGAACCCCTGCAGTAGAGGCCAGGAGGGCACAAAAGGACCTGGTTTGTACAAACACGGAGCCAAGCAGTGAAGTTTGGAACAGAGGAGAGAGTGCTGATACATGCTTCAGGCACATGGGAGCCCCAAGGAGGGTGGTGACACATCAGCATCCCCAGTGGATATAATCAGAAACATTTGAAGAAGATGAAAACCATGGAGACAGAGCCACCAGCTCTTCTGTTGCAATGCCCAGTATCAGCCCCAGCTGTTTCTGTCCTCCAGCAAGCTGTTGAGTTGCCTTATTATAACATGTCCTCTTACTTGCTGCTTTGGGCTCAGATGTCTCTGTTCACTTGTCAGGGCGCCGGAGGCTTTTGTGTCTATTCAACTAGAAAAGGTGGGGCTGCGGGACATGATGCTGAACGCCTTCCTCCTCAGGAAACAAACCATGGCCGACAGAGTGAAGAACCTTGTGAGTTTTGGGAGAAGGACTCACTAAATGAGTGTAAAGCTCTCACTGTCTTTTACATTTGAGCAAATAAAATTCTTAACTCATAATCTGTTGCTTTCAGCCTATTTGGATAAGACTATTGAAAATATAAAGAACATAAAGGTAATTCAATAAGAAATAGAAAGGAAGTAATTCAAGCTAATTGTGCCTAGTTTCAAGAATACATATACTTTTCCAAGGCCATGTTTTATTTTGTCACTTTCTAAACACAACTAGTTTCAACACCTGCTGTGGAACATTAGCCCACTGCTGAATAACGCACAAGTGTTTAGGGGGTTTGGACAAGGTGAGCAAGAGCTCTTACTATCAAATTCATGTGTTATCTGGTTTTCTAGATGTTAATGCCATGTTTTTATTTAAGTGTTTTATACTAGCTTAATCTATTGGAAAATATAATAAAATTTCAGCCTTTAAATCAATATTGCTTAATTTTGTAAATATCATTTAATTATTCATTAACTTTTTGAGGAGGAGGTCATTAGGCTAATCTATAGTTATTTGGGAGAGAAATCACAAGTCTACAATCTCTAAGCGTTTCCCCTATCTGTGACTGAAATGGAAAGACTTAAATTTCCCTAATCTAGTTCTACAAATGGGATGTGAGGGAGGCCAGACTTCTAGATTATTGTTGAGTAATAATGGAGGCAAAGGACTCCTTTTAATAAGTAATTGAGATATTCAATTATCTTTTTTAAGACAATATTAAAAAAAATATTGACCAAGTGAAAAATGTTATAGCTAATTAGCTGTTCTTCAGGATTATCCAATGTCTATCAGATTAGAAGACATAAGACTCCTAGATCAGAGACAAAGAACTTTATGACTCACAGTAGAGTAGGTGACTTGAGCTTCATGTCAGTTCCCTCTGTCTCCTAAGTCCCAAGGGGGCAACATGGAGGAGCCTAGATGTATGGAGGGGGTTTATGTCACAGTTGAATGACAGTGAGATTGAGGAGTCCACCTCTTTTTAAATGGTAGGCTTGCTATTTTTCCTGGAAGGAGACATTCCCTCATCTCTTAAAGTTGCTCTTTGCAAATAGAACCCTGAGAAATGGCCCAGGTAAAGACTAGTCAGGGCCTTGCATTTTTGGCATACTCAATGGGAGAGAACCATGGAGGAGTATCTCACAGCAAGTTGGCCTTCAGAAAGAATATCTCAACTGTATGGACTTTTCTCCCTTAAGTTTGCTATAAGTATGTATATAGGAACTAGAATGGAGAGGTTTTTATAGACAACCATCTAATAGAAGAACTATCATTCTCTTTTATCACAGGATGAAATTGGTCAAGTCAAGAGAGAAGTTATAGTTGAATATTGTCAGAAGTAAGTATAGTATATATGAACAACATATCCTGATTTCTCTGACTCTAAATTCAATAAACTGCAGTGTTACATAGAAATCCAGACAATGAATCAGGTGGTTGGTTTTTAAATAAACACATAATTGTTTTGGATGAAGCCAAACCAAACTATCCTCTGACACATAGAAGAGCATCAGAAGTGAAAGATAGGAGGTGCTTGAAGAGGACCATGCCTCTGCCTTCAGGCAATAGCAACCTGACCCAGATAGAACTTTCTTCTGGATGAGGTCATCCATTCTCTTTGAAAGGTCTTTCAGAGAAGTAGATCTTTCTGAAAATGACACAAAAAATTTGATTCACCTTCTGGATATCATCTCTTCTGGCTTTTCAGGTTCAACTATCGTATGTCTCACTATGCTCTTCGGGGTCAGATCATGGCATACTGCAATAGCCTGAGAGCCCTGCTGGAAGATTTCCCTACCATCAGGGACACCTTTTTCATGGTGGGGCAACCACAAGAAAAGAAAGGGTTGAGAGACTCCAAGGAGGGCCTCAATGCTGACCCCAGGTGTGTAATTTCCTTTAAAGCTTTTTACTACTCCCCCAACCCCCACCACCACCACTAACAAACATACCCTACCCCTCCCAGGGAAGAGGGAAGAGACATGTTACATTTGGTATGGGAATCTTACTTTCTTTACTGCATTTGGCCTTGGTCTTTTGGTTCAGAAGGGCAAAAGAAAAAGCTAACACTCCAAGAATAATAGTATCTTTGTATTTGAATCCAGAAGAAGTTCTCTGTTTATGGGCTGTTGCACTGCTTTTTCAATCTATGTAGTTTTGTTTTCCCCTGGAGATCCCAGAGATTTTCATCAGTCACACCTTTTACATAAGCCAGCATCTAAAATAAGGAAACAAATAAGTAAACTTGATCTTGAGCTGTCCTGGCTTCAAATATTTTACTCAATGGAGCAGAAGGAATAAGAAGCGCGCGCGCGTGCGCGCGCGCGCACACACACACACACACACACACACTATTGATACACCAGTACCTTGGATAAATCTGTCCTTCTGTATTTCTTTTACAGAGAAAAAAAAAATACATGGAGAGTGATATTAAATGATAAGGGCAGAGCTGCTTCCATACTTCCTTATCATGCCTTATCCAGTTTCTCAAGTATTCTTAACTCAGCCTGCCTAGAGTTCGCTCACCTAGATGGAGGAGTTAGCATACCTGTGCGTGTGCGTGTGTGCGTGTGTGTGTGTGTGTGTGTGTGTGTGTGTGTGTATTACACAGTTATGCAGTCTCCAGAGGGGAGCAGAACATCCTGTAGGGTAAGAGTAATTCCTCCCTTACTCTTTCCCATAAGGTACAGAGCTTAGTGCCAAGTAATAGAGATACTCAATAAATATAATCATAGAACAGATAGATGAAAGGGAATTGAAAGAACATTTGTATCAGACCACTCTTTCACTCACTTATTTCTTCATGCATAATTCAACCACTACTTATTTAGTGCTTACTTAGTACCAGACACTTTACCATGTGCCGGTGTTACGAAGGTGAATAAGTCATTGACTCCAGCAGTAAATTCAGTGCAGTGGGGGAAAACTCTGGAAACAAAAAAGTAACTTCAAAGATTTTCAAGATAACCTGCTAGAGTTATGTGAAATGTTCTGTAAGTTAGAACTCACTATAAAAAAGGGAGGAATGATAGAAGAGGCTAGAGAATGCTGGAGAAGGAACAAACTTGAGTTAGTAAGCCCTTGACTGACTGACAGCTGGCTACCGAAATAGCGACAAGGCCTACATTATACTTATAAGACACCCCAGTTTGTGAATACCAGTGTTTGTCTCATGAGTCAGCCAATACATTCACTTCAGTAGACTTGAGGATTTACCTAATGGAAGAATGCATTTGAGGGAGAGGTAGGGCAAATATACCTCAGTAGACTATTTTGCTGAAGGGTTTGACTGGACACCTGTTGCTCAATGAGGCTGAAGCATATCTTTCTCTCATATGAAACATCACAGGATAATCCCCTAAGATTTCTGAGTTTCATTATTTCATCTACCCACTAGCCAAGTGAACCATTTATAAGCATAATCTATATTTGGGATCAAATTTTTAAAATAGTTTCCAGAAGTCTAACCACAAGTTCACTACATTTGTGTTTAGGAAGTCTGTTTTTGTTTCTGATCTGTTTTATTTGAAGCAACCAAATGAGGTCAGGAAGTAGAAAAGAAGGAAAAAAACCTCTCTAACTTGCAGGTCTTACTCTATTCCTTAACTGTTTATTTTAGATGACTGTGTGTTTCCTTAAGACTAAAGGAAGCAGTCATTTAAGGGGGATGAGCCCAGAGCTCTAAATCATCTGGTCAGTTAGTGTGTGGGTAATTTCATGACAGGGCTTTGGTCAATAAAAGTGTGAGCAAAGTGAGCACACACCCAGAGCCCAAGACATAGAGTTTGGCAGTGGATGAGCAGTGACTGATAAGGATTCAGTATCTTTCCACTTTACCTATGTCCTGCTTCCTAAACTCTCTAGACTTTAACAAGTCCCTTTTATTACACCTCAGAAAATGGAGAAACAGGAAAAGGAACTTCTGTCTTATGTGGAAGTTTTGTAAACTTGAAGTAGTGTAGAAGATTATTGCCAACTCCAAAGTCTGTGATTCCATATACTGAGTATTCATAAAAATGAACATCAGCTACAAGGAGGTAGAATAGAGAGAGTGATGGCCTGGGAGTTAGAATATTTAGGCTTTACCCAGCTCAATGATAAGTTGCCCTGAGGTCTCAGGCAAATCACTTCTCTTCAATCTCTTAACCTCAACTCTTCATCTGGTGAGTGAGGAAATGGAAGCAGCTCTCTGAAGTTAAGCATGCTAAGATCTTTAGTATTAGGGTGTATAGAGATTGATTCCAAAGAATGGAACTGCTGGGGTGCCTGGGTGGCTCAGTCGGTTAAGCTCTGACTTAGGCTCAGATCATAATCTTGCAGTTTGTGGGTTCGGACCCCACATTGAGGTCTGTGCTGACAGCTCAGAGCCTGGCCCTGCTTTGGATTCTATGTCTCCCTGTCTCTCTACTCCTCCCACACTCATGCTCGCTCGCTCACTCTCTCTCAAAAATAAATAAACATTAAAAAAAAAAAAGAATGGAACTGGTATGGAAAGGCTTCCTGGAAAGAGGCCATTTAGGAAAGTTCATGAAATGATAGATGGGTATCACTCAAGGGCAAGTTTAACTAGACATGTCCCCAGGACAGGTTTGGGGAATCAGGGTCATGGAGGACAGAGGTCTTCACTAACTGCATTCCTAAAATATGGAGTTGGGTTAGGTGGAAGATAAAAAATAAGTTTTCTTTATATATATATATATTTTTAATATAGTTTATTGTCAAGTTGGTTTCCATATGACACCCAGTGCTCATCCCAACAAGTGCCCTTCCCCATGCCAACAACCCCCTTCCCCTCCCTCCCACCCCCATCAGTCCTCAGTTTGTTCTCAGTATTCAAGAGTCGCTCATGGTTTGCCTCCCTCCCTCTCCCCAACTGTTTTTTCTCCTTCCCCTCCCCTATGGTCCTCTGTTAAGTCCCTCCAGTTCCACATGAGTGAAAACATATGGTATCTTTCTCTGCCTGACTTATTTCATTTAGAATAATACCCTTGAGTTCCATCCATGTTGCTACAAATGGCAGATTTCATTCTTTTTCATTGCCATGTAGTATTCGATTGCATATATAAACTGCATTTTCTTGATCCATTCATCAGTTTATGGACACTTAGGCTCTTTCCATATATGGCTATTAGCAATTCTTATCAATGTTTGTGATTGTTTTATGTATTTGGGTGTTTCTGAATTCAGTGCATAGACATTTATACTCGTTAGCTCTTCCTGATGGATAGACTCTGAAATTATTATATAATGCCCTTCTTCATCTCTTGTTACTGCCTTTATTTTTTATTTTAAAGCCCAGTTTGTCCGATATAAATATGGCTACTCCAGCTTTCTTTTTGATGTCCAGTAGCATGATAGATGTTTTCCCATCTCCTCACTTTCGATCTGAATGTGTCCTCAGGTCTAAAATGGGTCTCTTGTAGACAGCAAATAGATGGATCTCATTTTTTTAATCCATTCTGCTACTCTATGTCTTTTGATTGGAGCATTTAGTCCATTTACATTCAGTATTATTATTGAAAAATACAGGTTTAGAGTTATTGTGTTCTCTGTTAGATTCATGCTTGTAGTGGTGTCTCTGGGACTTTGTGTTCCTTGCAACATTTCCCTCATAGAGTCCCTCTTAGGATCTCTTGTAGGGCTGGCTTAGTGGTGATGAATTCCTCCATTTTTTGTTTGGGGAAACCTTGATCTCTCCTTCAATTCTGAATGATAGGCTTGCTGGATAAAGGCTTCTTGGCTGTATATTTTTCCTGTTCATCACACTGAAGATTTCCTGCCATTCCTTTCTGGCCTTCCAAGTGTCAGTAGATAGGTCTGCTACTACCCTGATATGTCTCCCTTTGTATGTTGGGGCCCTTTTATCCCTAAATGCTTTCAGAATTCTCTCTTTGTCCTTGTATTTTGCCAGTTTCACTATATGTCATGCAGAAGATTGATTCAGTTTACGTCTGTGGGGAGCTTTCTGTGCCTCTTGGATTTCAATATCTGTTTCCTTTCCCAGGTTGGGGAAGTTCTCAGGTATGATTTGTTCAAGTATACCTTCTGCTCCTTTCTTTCTCTCTTCCTCTAGAATTCCTATGATATGGATATTCTTCAATTTGATTGTATCACTCAGCTTTCGAACTCTCCTTTCATGTTCCTGGACCAATTTCTCTCTCTTTTTCTCAGCTTCCTCTTTCTCTATAATTGTATCTTCTAATTCACATATTTTTTCTGCCTTTTCAATCTGTGCAGTAGCCAACGCCTCCATTTTATTTTGTGTTGCAATTTTTAGTTCATCAGTATTTGCAACAATAATGGCTCGGATGTCATCCAAGCCCTTTTGAAGCCCAATGAGTAATTTTATGAGTATTATTCTAAATTCTTGTTCAGTTATGTTGCTTAGATCACTTTTGAGCAGTTCTCTAGCTATTTCTCCCTCAAATTTCTTTAAAGGAGAGTTCTTCCGTTTCGTCATTTTGGCCAGCTTTCTTTCTCTTGTTAGTTTTAAAAAGCTTGTGATGTGTTCTCCCCTGTGAGCGCTGCTATATTAATATTAAAGGAGGCTCATACACTGTCCAGGGCCTGGCCGTTCAGGAAGTGTTCTCTGAAGGGTGTCCCTTGGTCTCTCTTATGACTTTGGTTATTTTATTTCTCTACTTGTAGTGATGTTTTGGACTCTCCCCCGTGTGCACTTTAGGTTTGTTCCTTGAAGTAGCCTGTGCCACAGGCGCAGATGAGGCGGGCCATCTCCCGTTCCTCACGCCCAGCCACGTTCCAAGCTCTCACTCCATGCGTGTTAATGATGCCACCCAAATTGCAATCCCACAAGCCACGGCACTTCAGGGCAGGGGACTGGTTCCTCCTGATGCCGACCGCGCCCCTGGGGTACCACCTAAC